AAAAAAAAAAAAGATTCATTAGTTGTTATCTCTACTTTCATTCAGTGGACTAAGCTTCCAGTTAGTAAGTTAAAAGAGAGTTGGTTATGGACATAAAAGTGTGAACAAAAGGTAGTTATATCAGGTTCACCAATTGTTATTCTAAGGGTTACCTAACATAGGATAATTCACTCCATGGAGGACAAATCTAATTTCCAAAACTGAAACCATGTGCTGAATTACTTATTTCATAAACATGTGATCTTATCTGCTCAGATTTACATTTGGAGCAATAAAACCTGGTCAGCTGTTCCTGGTTGTCTGTGTGTAAAGGAGATAGAAGATAACACTCCTTTTTTATGGCTTTCTTGAATATCTGAAGTTGGGGTGGGGTGGGAAAAGTGTACCTATCATGGCCATAAATGTCCAAGTTTGACACCAGAGAATGAAACCAGTCCTCTTTGGAAGATGTTGTAAATCCCTCAGGTCACTAGCTCCATATGTTAAAACCTGTCAAAGCATTAAAAAAAAAAAATCAGACAAGAGCTGCCATCTCCTCTTCATTGAACCAATGAAAATTAAAACAATCCCTCCAATTTTAAAATGTTTTAGGGCTTTGGGAGAAATATTGCCTGGTACAATGCCTTCAAATTTCTTATGAGCCCATAGGATGACCCCACAGAGCTCTCTAAAACCCCACAACCCACAGAGCTCTCTAAGATCCTGAGCAAGCTAAGGACTGCCTTGGCCTGATCCCAATGGACAAAATTCTGGTCAGGGTGCAGGGTGGGGACAGCATTTGGGGGAGAGCCTTGACAGACTCAGTCCAGGTACACCCACCAAGAGCATAATCATTGGGAGAGTTGCTGCCCTTCGCGAGACTCAGGTGGAGGCCACTCAGGTTCCTGTCACATGTGGGTATCTAGAAGGTTAAAACCCCTGAATTTTCATGATTCCCAGGATGTGTCAGTGGGGTCTGTATTAGCTCATTGTCCGTCTACAACTATTCAGCCTTCTTTTTTGGACATTATACTTTGGTTAATAGCTGCCAAAATTATGACAGAATCTGGTGGGGGGAATTTTTATTGCCTAATAAATATCCTAGAAAGTCATAATTCCACATTAGCCACTAAATATCCAAAATGTATAACGTATACAAAGTTGGGTCCAAGATACGGATGAAAAACAGCTCAGTGACGTTTCTTAAGAATTATTCATTTTCTTTTTCAATCTGAATGTGGAGCAGGAATAGTGAACTAAATCCCAGGCTTAGAAAGCTGAACACTGCCTGGAGGACTTAAAAATTACAATGACAAAGCCATTTTTCTTTACTCTTTAAATTACAACTAAGAAATTGTCCATGGAATTTTGGAAGAAATCTCGAGTTGTCAGACTCCTAAGACTTAGAGAGACCTCCAGAAACTCACATCAGTGTCTTTCTTCATCTGCCTTCCTGGAAAGCCTGAAATCATGCTAGGAAGGAATGGTGCTCCTCGATTTTGGTACACTTTCATTGTTGGTTTAGTTCTCTTCTGTAATGAATTCTAGAATCCAGCTATGCTCCTAGGCAAGAAGTTCTTTCTTTTGGACAAAGTCATTTTCTCCAGATACAATGAGCCTATGTTCAATCATTCTTCCCTTACTTGGGAAGAACTGTTTCACACACACACACACACACACACACACACACACACACACACACACACCAACCTCTGCTATAGTCTTGTATCTCCTTGAAGATCTTTGTTACCTGCCTAACTTCTTGTCTTTAACTCCGTATTGTTTGAACTTTTTCATCACTTCATCTTCCTGAAAATTGCTAAGACTCTCACACCTTAAATCACCCCTCTAAACCTCTCCTCCCCTAAAAATAAAAATCAATACAGTGGCAAAACTTGTTGACAGGCAGAGAGTGATGCCACTAGGTCTTGGTTCATGGGGAATACGATGGGCAGAGACCCATGGGCTCTCCTCCCACCACAGTGAATTGGGTCTCTCCAAGAACATCATTGGGGTTGGACATAAGCCTAGCACGATACACATCCCAGGTGCTGTTACATCTTTTCAGGACTAGTAGTGTTGACACTCCTGTTGTTTCCCTTCCAGGCAGGTTGGGCTCATATTTTCTATGGCAATTAAAACATCTTTCCTCTGTTGACAGAGACCAGATACTGCTACACTCAGCACACGATGGAAGTCACAGGAAATAGCATCTCTGTCACCAAACGCTGTGTTCCGCTGGAAGAGTGCTTGTCCACTGGCTGCAGAGACTCTGAGCAGGAAGGCCACAAGGTCTGGGCAACAAAGCAAGTGACCAGTACAGCCTAGTCAGCCTTCTCCCACCTCAAATGTCTGCCAGTGCTCATGAGCAAATTCTTACCTCCCCATGTAGGCTGGCTTTTCACTGTATTTATACCATTAGGAGAAGATGCCCCCTTTCCTGTTTGCTCTAAAAGAAAAAAGATTTATACCAGCTCATAGGATAACTAGCATAAATGATGTAAACACAATACCAGGAGGGTATTGAAAATTATTGTAAGCCCTTTCTTCACTCAGAAGAAAGCCATAAAGCTACCAGAAGGAAGAGGAGCAAGGGACCAATTATGTCCTCATGGTAAAGCATTGCAGATCGGCCAACAATTCATTCCCATGGAGGTTGAGCTTTCTGTAAAGTGGGGCTCATGTCTTTTGTGGCATGCTGATTTGGAGAAAGTATACATTGGCTCCCACATCATTTCAGTAGGTGATGAGAGAACCATCTCCTTGTGGGTTCGCCTTCGAGGGCAGCCTTGAAGGAGAATATGAAGAATCAGAGAAAGGCAACCTGACTCATGGTTAGAGTGGAGAATGCCCCGACTCTCCTGCTGGTCCTTCAGAGCTGGTTGTACACATGAGCTTGATTATCAGACCTTGGCCTTTGTTTGGAGGCTGCTCACTCGTCCCCTCAGGCTGCCTTCCTGGGGTTGGGGACAATGCCAATTCAGATACCATGGAACACCACTGTTACTAGGGGTTTCTTTCTCTCAAGAAGATAGACACCTAATTTTCAAGAGACTTGTCAAATATGCTCAGAATTAAATTTTAAAGTATAATTCACCTACTTGCTCTAGGTTTGAAATATGAAAGATAAACCCAAGGGTTTTACCTGACCCCCAAGCAAGTTAGCCTTGGTTCTCAGGCATTATTGTTGCTTCTTCACCAAGGAGGAAGTTAAAGATCAGAGAAATGATATCATGTGCACAGGTCACACAGCTAGTGAGTGATAGAGACAGAATTCAAACTCCCTTCTGAGCCCTATTTTACCTCCCCAACTTTATAATGCCTTCCTAGCCCATGTCAGTGGTGACCAGCTTGAAACCTCTGGAGGATAGTGACTGGAGGATATTAACCATCGTAGAGGCTTCAAACACTACTGTGCATGTGAATCACTTGGGGATCTTGTTAAAATGCAGATTCTCATTCACTAAGTTCTGGGCGAACTTGAGACTCTGTATTTCTAACAAGTTCCCAGTTGATGCTGAAACTGCTGGTCTGTACTTAGTGTAGCCATGACCTCAAATAATTTCTGTCAATAATTCTTTGGGTTTATTTCTTTCTTATGATCCACACATAAAGCTGTATAAAGCAGGAATAATTGCATAAATGAAAACCCTTCCAATCTTAACTCACCCATGAGGATGGAGAGAATTATGCAGACAGCTCTAATGAAAGTAAATATTGAAATTATCTGGGTTGTTGCCACTTCCCTTTCATTGTGAGGATTTGGCAAGTGAAAGTGGCCCTCTTAACAGTTTCCTCAAGTATTCAGAAAGAGCCTTTTTGAGAGAGGTAATCCCCACTTCACAGATGGAGTAGCTGAGACCTAGTAAGGTTGTAAAACTGCAATAATCACATGGTGGGACGTCCAAAGCAGAACCCATGTCCCTTGAAGCGTGGTTGGGGGCTTTAATTTTGACCATGTTGCTTCCCAGTGAAATTTCATTCCCCCCACCCCCCTGGCCTTAAATGCAGGGTTGGTGTCTCCTCCTGCCTCTTGCCAAGACCTGCCAGCTCCTCATCATTTTCTTTTCTCTTCCTTTCTTTCAGGTGTGTACTTCCTGTTGTGAAGGAAATATCTGTAACTTACCACTACCCCGAAATGAAACCGATGCCACGTTTGCCACAACGTCACCCATAAATCAGACGAGTGGGCACCCACACTGCGTGTCAGTGATAGTGTCCTGCTTGTGGGTATGGTTGGGACTCACACTATAGCAGCTCCAAGTCACGACGTGGAGTAGTGATCCGTGGGGACTTTGACGGTCCACAGTCATGCATGAGTTGTTGGCCTGACAATACTTACACATGTGAAACCACAACACGAGGATATCTTCACGGCCAAGCATTTCCACTTACCATGAGGAACAAGCATTGCTTCAGTTGTAGTCATTTGAACTCCAAGACCTCATCAAAGCCAGCCTGCCCCTAAAACAGACCCTGAGTTTTATACCACAAACCTTTGTTTTCACTCCAAGAAATAGCTCTGCATTTGTTGAGATCTGGGGCTCTTAATTTGGAATACATGCAGGAGCCACAGGAGGTCCTAGGACCCTCTGAGATGTTAGGCAGTATGTTATAGGGACATGAATGGTTGTATGTTTTTCTGGAGAAAGGTAAATGACCACTGGTTTTAAATAGAATCATGAATTCACTGACAGCTTCAGAATTTTAAATCTTTGATTGCAAAATCAATGGACTATTTCCTTGGAGGTATTAATTCCCTAGAAGGGTAGTAAGAAATTTGTTCAATTTAATTTTTCCAACATTCTGCTTCCAGTGGTGGGAATCATATTCCCTCTGCTCTGTGTGGGAAATAAAAAGGCAGTCATGAAAGATTGGTGTATGGGGCAGGGGTGGCTGCAGAACTAGCATCAATAGAGTGGCTGTTTATCCCTTCATGTAACTGGTGAGATTGGGCTTAATTCAGCACCTAGTATACTCCATAAGATCATGGATTCTACCTGGACTAATGGGTGTTCAAGGTGTCCTAAGCAGGACGGGGTTATTTTCTCCAGTCATGGGCTTCTATTCAGACATAGCTAATTTACAGAGAGAGAAACAGAGAGAGGATTTCAAAATGAAAAGAAGGAGAATGTGTGGAGGAATCCTACTTCACTGGGGGGCTCCAGTAAGTGGCCGGATCTTCCTCCTTACGCTGCCCAAGAGCCCTCCGTGTGCTTCCTCTTTCAAATCCCCAGTGACTTTAGGGAGAAGGTGCTGCATTAAGTTGCCTGGAGATTAATAGGGAAAGAAGATGCAATATCCTAGGATGAGAGTAGGTGGACCAGTGGGGGTGATAGTGAGACTAGTAAGGAGACCCAGTGAGAAGTTATTTCTTTTAGATGATTACTTTGGAAGTAGATGGTAAAAGTTTCACTGTCCTTCCTATATTTTTGGCACCCCAAGTTACAATTCTTTCTTCTTCCTTGTAAATCATTTATACAATATTTATTTTTGTATGGCATAACTAGAAACTAAAATATATTATAAAAGATTCTTTATTCTGAACAAAACGATCAAATTAGAATACTTATTTTTCAACAGTGGTAGAGCTTGTAATATATGTATGTATAATACTGGCACCAGTGTTGAAAAAAGTTACTTATGTTGTGAGCACGAGTAATGTGTTGGCCTCAAGGTTTTTGCTCATGGTTTCCTCAGTGGTGTGTTTCCAGAAGTATTTGGGTGGTGACAATCGCTGGTACAAGTTTCTCTGCAGGGTTCTCGGCGTTTTTGCATCGAATGTGTTGGAGCCACTGCTGATACAGAGGACAGTGTTGTCAGGGTCCATCCGCCCTGACAGGAAAATGTCTCTGGCTCATAAAATGAGACCTCCTCAGGGACCAATAGGAACTGACAGTGGTAACTCTGATACACAATGATCTAAATTGCATCAAATGGCCTTAAATCAGAGTTTGGCAGGCTTATCCGTAAGTTACTTATAATTGGGGTGGGGAAGAAGAGGGAGAGAAAGCAAGACATTTATTAAGCACCTCTTATGTGCCAGGCACTATGCTAAGCACTTTACATAAGTTAGATGGTATAATTCCTGTAAGAACCATGGAAGGAATATTACTAGTATTTACACTTTACAGATGAAGGTACCAAGGCTCTAAGAAGCGCAAGAGCGTGAAATCTTTCCCTTCCGACTATATTGGATGAGGCAGGAATGAGGAGGAAGGGAAGGTGGAATTACCACCTGTATGGGCTTCATGGGAACTTGTCCCCCAATCATGTGGAGTTCGTCTAGTCCTGCCTCGGCAGGATGTCATTTGCATGTATCCCCAGATGGTTTTTCTTTGGGGGAGGGGTGAAGGTATGGTTTCATTCATTCCTCTTGCTAGAAGAGGAGACAGGTTGATCCTGCCTCTAAAGATGGTATAAGACAATGAAAATTTGATGCTGTACATATCTACCCAGACATTTTTGTGCATGAGCACTCTCCACGGACACCATCCAAATACTGCATGCAATTTGAATAAGAGACAAAGTCCAAATGTTGGTTCTTAACGAGAAAGTATGTACTGCAAAGCCTCCCTGGCTGGTGTGCAGGGACCAGGTGTTCAGTGCTGTCATCTGCCACCCCAGGGGGGTCACTGCAAACTGCACACAGATGTGGTTGCCTGCACCCTTTTATGCCTGTCAAAATGGCTGGTGTTTTATTCTCTAAAGAAAGTGGTTTGCTCACCATCCCCAGCCTCAAGGAGCCACGGCATTGTCATTCATTCATGTGGAAGGCCTGGGATGGGTCATCCACCTGACTTTCCTACCACATTAAATCTTGCATTAAATCCCACCATCGGTGACGGCTTGAAGTGCACAGAGCCGCAATGTGTATATGAACCTATGTACTACTTATTTATTTTTAGACTCCCCACAGCATTCATGTCCATATGGGATTAATGCCTAAATTTTGTAAATATTGTACATTTTGTAAATCAATGAATAAAGATTTTAAGTGTATCTCACCGGGCTCCTCCATGCAAATGTACGCATCAACCCATGATTCAGGCACCCAGGCTATGTCAAGACGTTGGGCTTAGTGCCACAGGGAACTTTCTTCCAGAAGCTCACTTTCTAGTTGTACAGACAAGAACTGCATGCATGAAAAGATACAACATAACTCACTCATGCCAAATGATTCATACAGACAGTAAGAGCTGCAGAAAATCAAAGAAAGAAAGATTACCAGATTTTTCCATCAGGTCTACAGTTTCTCCAGAACATTTTTTTGTTAAATCAGGAAAGATAAAAAGATTGTGTTTGTGTGTGTGTGTGTGTGTGTGTGTGTGTGTATGTGCGCGTGTGCAAGTGCGTGTGCGTGTGTATCACCCACTATTTTTGAATCTTATTCTTATTTAAAAACCTTATTCTATTCTTGGGGTGAATTATGTTAATGATACCTTAAAAAGCATTTTCCCTTGATGGTTTCTTCTGCAACAGGAAATAAATATTTGAATAATATAAATGTCATTTTCATCTATACAATGAATTTATTATATTTTTCATAGTGAAATGATAGACATTGAAAGTGACCTTGAAACACTCCAGCTTGTTTGTGACTCCTGGTTATTCTTTAACATCCTATATTTTGACGTTTCTAGGGAAACACAAGTATTTCCAAAGTTAAAGTTTTCTGTTAGGTTCTGGATCAGTGACATGATTGGGGCTCTTAAAATGTCATACTTACATTAAGATAGCTCTTATCACTAACCTCTCTGAATAGCTCTGTGTGTGTAATGTAAACGGTACCACAGATAGACTGTGCTTTCAGAAAATCTGGTTTTGAAAACATAGACTTGCATGATAACCCAATTTTGGGGTTTAAAAAGGATCCTTCACTTTATAAAGGCATTTTATATCTCTTTCCTAACACATTTATAAGATTTTATTTACAAATAACATGTAGGGCACACCAGGTATGGAAAATCAGATGTGGTACCTTGGCTATATTATGGTAACTTTTATCTGAAATACCTACAGCACTTTCATAAACGTGCTTAATAAATTAACTGATCTACTAGGAGTGAGATACTGAAAACTCTAAGCATGTTATTATATTAATCCACATTTTAATTGGGAGAACTTGACCTCAGAGGTTCAGCCATTTTTCTAAGCTTGCATAGCAACTTGGGAGCAGGACTAAAGCATGAATATAAAGCATCATGACTTTAGCCTGGAGTATTCTTTACTGGAATCTACTGGAAAACAGGTTCTGATTTTTTTTTTAATATAAAAAGTTCTAACTTTAATTTGATGTTACAAAATCAGTGCGATTTCTAAAATGTCTTTCATATCAGGCCTTCATTGTCAGCAGTTACTCTTAGCTTTTAGATTCATGGTTTTCCCATTAGCAAATTACTATTGTCTTGTTATTTTAATTCCATTGCAGTTGCTGAAGTTCTATGGGGCAGGATCTGTATGTAACTATATCTTAAGCCAATTAGAGACCTAAAATCCAGAGGCTGAGAAATGACTTGAGGGAGGCTATTTGCTATTTTTCTAATAGCAATCCCTGATTCTTTTTTTAAAAAAGATTTTTATTTAAAAATACAGCTAATATACAACATTATATTAGTTTTAGGTATACACCATAGTTGTTCAACATTTATATACTTAAAAAAATGATCACTATAAGTCCAGTAACCATCTGACACTGTACCACGCTATCACAATAATATTGACTATATTTCCCATGCTGTACATTACCTCCAAGACTTACTTTTTTTATACCTGAGGATTTGGACCTCTTATTCCCCTTCGCCTTTTTCCCCACTTTTTTTATTTTTCAAATAGTTAACATTCAATATTGTGTTAATTTCAGGTGTACAGCATAGTGGTTAGATATTTATATAATTTAAAAAGTGATTCCCCTGATTAGTCTACCACTCACCTGGCACTATACATAGTTATTACCATATTATTAACTATAGTCCCTATGCTGTACTTTACATCCCCATGACTATTTTGTAACTATGAATTTGTACTTAATCCCTTCACCTTTTTCACCCTGTCCCTCAAACCCCTCCCATGTATCACCCCGATAAATCTAGTACCCTTCTGACACCATACATAGTTATTATAATATTATTGACTGTATTCCTTATGCTATATCCTACATCCCCATGACTGCTTTGTAACAACCAATTTGTACTTCTTAATCCCTTACCTTTTTTTCACCCAACCCCTAAACTCCTCTCTCATTTGGCAGCCATCAAAACGTCCTTTGTATCTATGAGTGTGTTTCTGTTTTGTGTTTGTTTACTTTGTTCTTTAGATTCCACATATAAGTAAAATCACATTACATCTGTCTTTCTCTGTCTGACACTCCACTCAGCAGTACAATACCCTCCAGGTCCATCCATGCCACTGCAGATGGCAAGAACACATTCCCTTCCATGGCCAAGCAATATTCCATTGTATATATGTACCACCTCCTCTTTATCCATTCTTCCATCATCAGACAGCCAGGCTGCCTCATTTTGGCCATTGTAAATAATGTTGCAGTGAACATATGGATGCACACATCCCCTCAAAGTAGTGTTTTGGGTTTCTTCAGATAAATACCCAGAAGTGGGATTACTGGGTCCTTCTTTGTCTCTTGTTATAGCCTTTGTTTTAAAGTCTATTTTGTCTGGTATAAGTATTGCTACTCCAGCTTTTTTTTTTTTTTTCCATTTCCATTTTCATGAAATAACTCTTTTCATTCCTTTGATTTCAGTCTGTGTGTGTCTTTCAAACTGGAGTGAGTCTCTTATAGGCAGCATATGTAAGTGTTTTGTTTTCTTACCCATTTGGCTACTCGATCTTTTTGATCAGAGCATTTAATCCATTTACATTAAAAGTAATTATTGATAGACATGGAGTTATTGCCCTTTTATTGTTCATATTATATTTCCTGCCAATCCCTTCTGGCCTGCGAAGTTTCTGCTGAGAAATCAGCTGACAATCTTGTGGGAGCTCCCTTGTAAGTTACTAGTTGCCTTTCTCTTGCTGCTTTTAGGACTCTCTGTCTTTAACCTTTGCCATTCTAATTATAATGTGTCTTGATTTGGGCCTGTTTGGGTTCATGTTGTTTGGGACGCTCTGTGCTTCCTGGACTTGTATGTCTGTTTCCTTCACCAGATTAGGGAAGTTTTCAGTCATTATTTCTTCAAATAGGTTTTTAATCCCTTGCTTTCTCTCGTCTCCTTCTGGTACCCCTATGATGCAATTATTGTTATGCTTGATGTTGTCCAACAGGTCTCAAACTATCCTCATTTTTTTAGATTCTTTTTCCCTTTTGCTGTTCTGACTTGGTGTTTTCTGCTACCTTGTCTTCCAAATCGCTGATTTGATCCTCTGCTTCATCTAGTCTGCTGGTGATTCCTTCTAGTGCATTCTTTATTTCAGTTATTGTATTGTTCACTTCTGACTTGTTCTTTTTTATGGTTTCTGTGTCCTCCTTTATGCTTGCTATCTCTGTTGTAGTTCTCACTAAGTTCCTTGAGCATCCTTATAACCACTGTTTTGAACTCTATATCTGGTAGGTTGCTTGCCTCCATTTTATTTAGTTCTTTTTCTGGAGTTTTCTCCTGTTATTGCATTTGGGACATATTTCTTTGTTTCCTCATTTTGGCTGCCTCTTTGTGTTTGTTTTTATGTACTAGGTAGAGCTGCTATGTCTCCCAGTCTTGGCGGGGTGGCTTTATGTAGTAGGAGTCCTGTGGGGCCCAGTGAAACAATCTCCCTGGTCACCTGAACTGCGTGCTCCAGGAGTGTCCCTTGTTGAGTTGTGTGTGCCCTCCTGTTATAATTGAGCCTTGATTGCTGTTGGCATGTCAGTGGGTAGTATTGACCCTCAGGCTAACTGACTGTGGAGTTTGGCCATATCCACAGTTTATGGGCTGCTGTGCAGAAGGTTTACCCCATGGAGCAGGATTTGTCCCAAGGGGCTCTGGTTATTCTTGAGACTGCCTTGTGTGTGCCACTTGTGGGGCTAATTGGGTGGTGCTCTGCTGTGGGTGGTCTGAAGACAACCTCCACGTATGTTGGTTCTGGGGCCTTTGGGAGGGGCGCCAGTGCCGGTCCAGGTTAGCCACTGCTTGTGACTGGCTGGGGAATACCTGGTAGCTGCTACAAAGTGATCCACAGTTGGTCGCTCCCTGTATTGTAACTGGAGGTGTGTAGGAGAGGCTACACTATGAATTGAGGATGGCTGCCACCTGCCAGCTCCTGTAGTAAGGTTCAGTCCCTGATAGAGCCTCCTGCAATTATGCAAGTTGGGTGAGGCAGGGTCTCAGTGACTTAGCAGGGTGGAGCAGCAGAGCTCAACACGCCAATCAGATTCAGATTTGGCCTGTGAGGGTGGGCTCAACACAGAAAAGATGGTGCCTGCCTGCTGGCTGCATTGGGGAAGGGCCCCACACAGGAAATATGGGGGCTGCCCCTCCAGCTCTCTCCCCGAAGTTACACGACTCAGTCTCTCCTCATGTCTCCGATGCCCCCAGAGTCACTGTTCCTCCTCTGGAGCCCAAGGTGAGTGCCTGTGCTGGCCCTTTAAGAGGATATCCGGGTTTCCCGCAGCCTTCTGTCCTACCCAGATGGTCAGAATCCCCCGTTTTCAACAGCCAGAAGTTGTGATGGATTCTCTTCCCTGCACCAGTACTCCCGAGCTGGGCAGCCTGGTGTGGGGGACTGCGGTACCTTGCTCGTCTTTGGGAACCTCTGTGACGGAGATATCTCTCCCAGTTTTCAACCACCACAGGTGGGTGTGGGACCAGCCTTTTCACATCTCCATTCCTACCAGTCTGACATGGCTTCTTTATATCCTTAGTTATAAAAGTTCTGTTTAGCTAGATTTCAGATTGTTCTCCAGGTTGGTTCTATAATTTAGTTGTAATTTTGATGTGTTCATGGGATGAGGCAAGCACAGTGTTTATCCTCCATCTTGGACCGTTCCTCCTCTGATTCTTGTATATGAT